TTTATTAAAATATGATTGACAGAATACAGATAATTCTCCCGCACCATCTCTTAAAGAAGATGTGGCATGCCATCAGCAAACAGAACCCATCTGAAAAGAAAATTGCAACTAAACTTCGGTATTTTTTGTGTGTGTGTCTAGAATTCCTTTCTAAACTCTCTCAGGTTTTATGTCGATTTAGCTAGCACATGTTGGTGTGCCAATTTGTTGGGGGGAAGATGCTCATTTGTTCCTGGCTGCTTAGAGCCAAAATAATCACTCAGAAACTATATGATTTGCAATACTGTTTGGACAATAGCTTAAGCGTATTGCTAGCTAGCTCTTTTATCCTAAACTAACCCATCTCCATTAATCTTTGCATCACCATGAAGTCGTGGCCTATAGGCTAAGTTCCAGCTGACGGCTTGCATCTTTCTCCTCTGGCGACTCCATGGCATCTTCCTGACTTCACCTACCCCCTCTCTCTCTCTATTTTTTTTCCAGCCGGGCTATATTGTTAAACCATTGGCCGAAAACAGCTTCTTTATTAAGCAATGGTATTCACAGCACACAGAGGGGAGTCCAACATCAGAGTGATGTATTGGAATATGGTTGAGGATTTGTATGAAACTATTCCTGGGGTGATGCAAGCAAATGTCTGTTTACCCAGCTAGGAACCATTGATAGACCAAAGTACAGATACCACCTGGTGAACCTGGTTTTATAGAGGTGGCCGGATAGTGGTGCGCTGCCTTTAATCTTGGGAGGTAGAGGCAGGTGGATCTCTGTGAGTTTGAGGCCAGCCTGATCTACAGAGTGAGTTCTAGGACAGGCACCAAAGCTACACAGAGAAACCCTGTCTCAATAAAATAAAATAAACAAGTGAAGGGTTGTTTATAGGAACAGAAGTGACTCAGGAGACAGCTGTGTCACCAAAGCATAGGTGACAGCTCTAACACACAGCGCACAAACTACAGGCTGGAGAGTGGTCTGAGCCTCTTTGACAGAGCTTAGGGGGATTTTGCTTGTTCCAGGTAGTTCATCAGACCTGAGAATGCTTGGGACGTGCCTAGGAAATGTGGTCAGTTTCAGGGACTTCTGAAGCCCTTGAATTTTGCTGAGCTTCCCTGCAGGAGGAGTGTTTTCATCACATCCCATTCTCAACATCCTGTCTTAAAGAGCTCCCCCAAGACAGGACAGTTGAGTCCTGCAGGAAGCTGCTGCACCTCAGTCCGATGACAGCAGCACTAGGTCATGCAGTTTCCATGAGAGGGGAGGCCTGCCCACAGAATCTTAAGACCCACGTGAGGATCCTCCCCATATCCCTGCTTTGCTGAGAA